TTTTTCCAGAACAGCTAGAGAAAAACTGACCAAAGGGTCTAGAGCTCGATTTTTGTGAAACGTCAATTGGTGAAAACCGCATTTCGATATCTCTAACCATTTTCGAGATATAGGCGAAAATTTACATTTGACCGACTTCGAAAATATGCCATAACATTTTTAGATTTGAATATTTTTCGAAACAGAAAAAAACTTGAGTAATACTTCTAATTCACAGAATTTGTCTGTTTTTATTTCCCACTTCTTGATTGTTACAGTTGAAAAAATCGCTCCAGCAAGCTCTCGCGATTTCTCCACTTTCCTTGATTCGAGACTTCTGCCAGATGACAATGAAATTTGAATATGATTTGAAATGTATTTATCGATAAAAACATTATTTCTCACGTATTCACTCCCGATGAATACATGTTGAATTGTGGGCATGTTTTATGGCTTGGCAAACAATTGAGAATCAAGAAAGTGAAAAAATCGCGAGAGTATGCTCGAGCGATTTTTTCTGCTTCCCTTGACGTTATGAATGTCAAAAATATTATCGTTGCAACGGGATCAGTTGGGTCAATTCATAGTTTGTATTGGTAGAAGCAAGTCCGATGGTAACTCAACAAAAAATATCGCTGTAATACAGGTGAACACACCCTGAAATTGCAGCATATAATAGGAAACACAGGCTAGTGAATGTCCCTTTTCCAGAATATCATAAAGCAGATTGCAGTCAACAACGGATACAACGTTAATTTGATAGAAAGTATTCTTTCTAAAAAACTCCATAATAAAGCTATTCAAGGAGTTTATCCCACCATCGAAAATAATAATCAAAATTATAGAACTTCAAGAAGCATAAAAATACCCGTGACCGTATAGAATTTTCCATTATTAATTCGAAAGCAATTTCATTATTCCACTAGTGGACAAATACATACTTTATTCGTTTCATAAGTGTCGATAAAACTTCGATTATAAGGTCATGATTGTGGATAAAACAAACAAAATCGCAATCCAGTCAACTGTATTGTCGCCATGTTTGAACAAAACAATAGCTTGTTGTTGCATCTACAGTGTCATTCATAAAGTCGGCATCATATGGGAAAAACTTTTACTATTGACTTATTTTGGAATTCGAGTTGGACGTTGAGTTTTGCTTCAAAAAAGATGGAAAATGGCCTACTCAATCGGGGTCTCGTGACTTTATGTAATATTTGAAGAATTGTTGATTCCACGAAACTACTTCATACCAGTATAGCTTTTTCATGCTACTTACTTTCAATTACTTATTATCACTGATTATGGACAAAAATATGATTTTCTTCAGAAAATGATAATACCCGCTTCCAAATTCTGTTATGTTTGATGCAAAGTTGATATATCGTCAAGCATTTAGAAACGAAATTCATTTAAACTGATCTTTTCATTACTGAAAAGATGAATTTAAATGAATTTCGTTTCCAAATGCTTGACTCAAACATAACAGAATTTTGATGTTATGTTTGGATCAAACATAACAGAATTTTGAAGAGGAGATTATCATTTTCTGAAGAAAATCATATTTTTGTCGATAATTAGTGATAATTAGTAATTGAAAATTTGTAACATGATGAAGCTACTGGTATGAAGTAGTTTTATCGAATTTACAATTTTTTTAATATTACAGAAATTTCGAAAATTTTTAAAAAATATCGACATCTAAAAAATGTAATAGAAAGATAAAATCCGAGTCACATATGTGAAATTCAAATAGAAACAACTTTTTCAAGTAAACTTTTTCGATATTCGAACAAATAAGCCTACTTTCAGCGATTAATTTGAAAAAATGTAACTTTTGACATGTAGCGAAAGTCACGTGACCCCGATTGAGTAGGCAATTTTTCATCTTTCTTGAAGCAAAACTTGACGTCCAACTCGAATTTCAAAATAAGTCATTAATAAAAGTTTTTCCCATATGATGCCGACTTTATGAATGACACTGTATATGTAATGTAAGTACCAATAAAATTTGGCTAACAAAACGACGCTATTTACAACATTCCTACACTATTACTCCCAAATTTAACACCTCCCTCTCCAAAATCCAATTACTTATCGTGAAATGAAACGTGCCTAAAAATACCCGGGGCCGTATTGAATTTTCAATTATTATTTCAAAACTAATTTCATCATTCCACTAGTGGAAAAATACATACTATATTCGTTTCATAAGTGTCGATAAAACTTCGATTATAAGGTCGCCATATGTTTGGACAAAACAATAGCTTATTGATGCATCTATATATATAGGTGGTTCCATGGCTGCTAGCAAGCAGTGTATATCACTGAGTAATAGAGCAGTTCAGCTACCGTTGAGAGAGAAAAAAATGTTTTTTCATCTGTCCTTGTCTTCAGTGTTCCAACATGAAATAATGAAAATCTTATATTGCCAACACAGGAAATGAGAAGAAATGGAGAAGAAGACCGTTCTAACCTTCTTTTATATCGAGGTTAATATGATATTCTTCTCCATTTAGTGGTATAATATAGAAATTCAATGAAATCTTCACGTCCAGTGAATGTCCCTAAACGGATGTCCATTGTACTAGTGGTTAATGGATATCCATTGGATGTCCATTCAGTGTCCATGTCCATATGGACCAAGCATGGACATCATATGAATATCCATTGGATATCCTGTGTTTACTGGGATGTAATGTAAGTACCAATAAAATTTGGCTATCAAAACTGCGCTATTTACAACACTCCTACATCATTACTCCCAACTTTAACGCCCCCTTTCCCGAATCCACTTACTTATCGTGAAATAAAACGTGCCTAAAAATACCCGTGACCGTCAAAATATCGCACAAAGAATGGAAAACTACACAGACCCGAACCGAAGATGCGTGCTCGGCTTGGGGATGGAGCAGAGAAGGGTAGCTATGTGCGAGACCCCCAGATTAACGCGAAGCACTTAGCGCTAAGAGCTTGGGGTAGTCGATTCTCCAGCCACCCCATGCCGCCTCAAAGCAAGTTTTATTCTACTTCCTTGTGCCTTACATTGCAGTTCTCTGACGTAAAGATGCAGTCGCTTTGTCGGAAATGGAATAAGAATATCGGGTTTGCTTTGACCTATGACTGTCATTTGATTGAACAGTATTTACCAGTGAAGGAGGAATAAGGGTGACCTTATAGACACATATGGCACCGAAACCGAAACTCAAAACTGCTAATGAATACATGATTCGCGGTCATTAGATGACGTTGAGATAACATCAACAACTACGGGAAAACATTTCTAACTTTCAATCGATACCGGAAGTTAGGATGTGTTCCCGTCAAATGTCATCGAAACGTCATCTACTGACCTTGATGATGACCGCGAATTGACATTAACATTCATATCAATATAAATGTCGTTCTTTGTTTCATCATATTTCACTTCTTTCCCAATCATAATAAGCACAGTATATTATCCTTTCAGTGCCTGTCAAAGTTTTTGATACATTTCTAGAATCAATAGATGTATCCTCTTGTAAGGAACTATTAGTACCAGGAGTACCTTGGATTTTTCTTGCTATATCAAGCCTAATATAGAATCCGCGATATTATATTAGGACTCAAATGAATCTACGAAGTAGGACAGGAGATTTGAATCAAACGAGTAAGTGACGTCAGTTGTAGTCTATTAGAAAAATTAAATAGTACAATATATTTATAAATATATAAATAGTAAGTATATATCAATTCGAATCAACTTATTTAGAACAGAACGTAAACCTATAATCACATACAAAAATAAAGCAATTTTGGACCTACACTTCCTCGAACATAACAATTTTTCGAAATGTCTACTCTCCAACGTTCACTTCTGAGGAATTTGTGAAAGTGGTCCCTTCCACTGGAAGCAGAGCAGATTGAAATTCAAAATTACGAAACAAACCGAGTTGACCTTGAGAATGAACAATAATTATTTAAACATTGAATTTTCAAGGTATGAGAGACGTTAAAAGGTCGAAATTCAAGCTTCTAGGTGACCACCATAGAGTATTCTTGTTCAGTTCTTTTTCATCGTAAACATTAGAATGTTATCATCTCACAATTAATTATCTATAGCTTGTAATCGGCTCTGAAAGTTAGAACATGAGGTTATTCCACTGAATTTGCAAAAGAATTAAAGATGGCTCAATCCCTATACTGCAATGTAAATATATAGAAGGCAACACGGTGACGTCAGCAGCTGGAGTTCATACATGTGTCAAGTTGAACTAAATTACACGGTGTAAAACCATACCTCGTTCAAATTTTACATTGAATAGTTGAAATTGAATGTCGAAAGATAACAATTAATCTGCCCCGTCATAAAATCATGATATCAAATTGGTTGAGTGGACTTGTGTAGATAATATCAACATAAACGATATATAAATAAAGAAATATTATGTACAGCGCCTATCACAGTCGATGTCTCATACTTTTAGCGGGAAAATGGAGGAAGAGTTTTTATCAAAAATCAATTCATACTCACATGTCACATGAAAATGATCAATGTTCGAATCAGTAATTTTGAACCAATGTAAAATAGTATAGATTGAAATACGAGTAAAAGGCGACTTTATCTACAACTATTCAAATATCAAAGCAACTTTTCAATTAGAATAAGGTACGAGACATCGATTGTAAATGCCCTGTACTCAAAAAATGAACACAACATCGTTAATTCTTGAAAATTGTGCGTTTTAAATTAATCTCTAGTCCTCGAAAAAATAAATAAATAAATACTATCAATTTCTCATTTCCAAGGTCAGAAGAAAATTTATTTTAAAGAACTTGGAATTTGTATACGCCCTCAAGGTAATCTCTGAACATGTGAGTTTTAGAAACTTTCAAATAGTGAACCTTTTGAGAAGAAATCGGTTTTTCACTGTTAAAAATTGAATGAATGAAAATAATTATTTCTATGAACTACTGGAATACATTATAGGTAGTATAAAATCATTGCACAAATAATTCATTTATGTTTTATGAATTTCTCACTATGAAGCCTTTTTGGATAACACCTTTACCAAACGATGTCGTTGACCCGATTCGGACTTGCGGAATTCTTCTAGAATCTGCAATAAATTCATAGATAGTAACAGATTTTGAGATACCCACACATTATCCTAACTATGCATTTACCGAGCCTCAATTTGAATATTATGAAAATAACCCATGTGAAATTTAGAAGTTCAGTACATATTTTCAAACTTCTTGCAATTCCGGAACCAGAGTTTGTACATTAGTCCCTACAAACAGTGACTTAGATGACCAATTTATAATCACCCACTTAATCAAGTGGAGTTTTTCCGAGTTACTTCATCATTTTATAGTAAACTGATGAACAGTTTACCTACATAATTTTAGTGCTAAATGTTTCGAATGTTCAAAAACTAGTGAATACGGTGTGAAACAGACTCATGATACAACAAAATGACACTATCGCATTTTCAATTGAAATAGTATTAGGGTTCGAATTACAGGCCAAAAAATTAGAATAAAACGATTTTCTTCTACCCAAACAATATTTTTTTCAAATGGTTCCATAATGAGACTGAAGTGGCATAATTTTTTGTTACCCCCGGGCACATAGCAACCTAGAACCAGTTCCATTCGCTGAAACGAATGTATCAGTTCCGTGGTAGCCTTGGTATATATTACTTTACTTAATTGCAACATTGAGACATTATATTGGGATTCAGAATTGCTAGTGACCGGAAGCTCTTGAATTTTTAGACCATTTTTTCGAAATCTAAGCGAAAACATAGGCAATTCATTGTTCACAGCCACCCAAGCATTTTCAATCACTTCTTGTTCAGCGTTTGAGCAGGGTACTTACGTTATAAGACAATTCTTGTTTCAGGATGGACATAGTTTGATCGTTTCCGAAACAGCATGCTAACAGAGTCGGGTACAAGATGTCCGACAAAGATTCCACAGAGAAATATGGAAAAGGCAGCGAGCACAGTTGCTGAAGTACGGAAGGCGGCTGGCCACTGACCAATAGCATCTGAAACAATGTCAATATAGTAATCTACGGTTGTTTTTAACCCAGATATGCCTACCGTCCTTCAATAAGGACACTGCGTAAAATTTTTTTTACTGATGCGTAATTTGGGTATCTTCGTTGATATTCATGGATAATACTACCCATGTCGAATGAAAGAACATTAGTTATAGACTAATATCAACACAGCTTATCGGCAATACGTAAATACAAATGGGAAGCAAGCATTCTATTCAAGTTGACTAGCAGATTGATGCCAATTCGGTTGGGTTAGCAATTATGACTGAAATATTTCGATTATTGATTTTGTGTAAACGTTTTTGCAGTCAAAAAAATGTCAATGCATTGCGTGTATTGAAACTACATCTCACAACCTCAAATTTTCAAATATAATTTGAGGAGGACAGTAGGTATATAAGTAACTTTTTTTCAGTGGTTTCACTTACTACAATCTTTAGAAGATGACAACTAATAATGAAAAATCTGAAATATCTATGGCAATTATGTCTCGTTTCAATAATTGTGAACCAGTTACGAAGATTATGACTTGAGCGATGAAGATAAGTAGACATTAGGTGACATTAGTAGGGTTTAGAGACCTCATAATATCTCGACGAAAATATTTCTTGATCATTTATCTTTTTTCGAAAGAGAAGCCATTTCAATTTTGGAAGGCAACCAAAGTACATATTTTCCAAACGTTCGAAGCCCTCTCCTTCAGAAAACGCAGATTGCCGTTACGATAATTAGATGGTAACGTAGGAGACGAAAACTAGATTTCGATATTCTCATAAATACATTTTCACCAAATGCGAAAAGTGCAACGTTGATCTCTGAGCTACTTGTTTCAAGCCCTATTATGACAGAGACTAGTTGAATCATATTCTTCATCCGATTTTATGTTCAGAATTGTTCTTTATGTCCTCTTATATATTATATTCAGGATACTGAAATAATTGAAACTTCCATTCAAGGAAATGTCACCCATTTGCCTACTGTCCTTTTGAAAAGACACCGTCTTTTTGAAAACTCTTGCTTTCAAAATTTTTTTCAATAATTTTCTCTTACTCATTTCTTAATACTAAACTAGTTTCACACAACAAAAATTGCACCCCTCAGAATTTGACTGTTTTTTGACAGCCTGTATATTTTCAAAGGGATATCAGTTTTCGATATCAGATACTTCATCGGTTACAACAATGAGTAAATTTCCAATTCACATATTTTTAATTTTCGTCGTGCGATCAAATTTGGGTTCAGAAATATGTTGAATGTGAAGGTATAGTTTTGGCTCCTCCACCATTTTCATGGCGTACTACTTAGAAAAGCCATGTACGCACACCTAAAAAGATGCGAGCCATTTTACGCAGGTATAGTGTTACAAGATTTATGAGGAAATGATTAGGGAAATTGGCAATGGTACCTGAAATGACATATTCAACAAATTTAATAGTATGGATGGAAATTGGATTATTTTTTGAAATTATACACCGAATACCTGATGAAATGGGAATTATAGACGAAACATAAATATTCGAATAGCATAATAATTGACGATTATCAAATTATGGGTATATGCAAAATAACAATGATGCTAATAGTTCGTTTTTGAGGTTGATCATTCTAATTTGAATTTCTGTTGAAAGGTTAAGCACATATTTTAATTTCTCCAAGAACCACAGTGGTTGTAAAACTGATTTACAATAGATTTACACCATACTGGGATGAATTTTCTTTACATTTTTGTTGAAGGTTTCAGGTTAGGGTTAGACCATACTGACAGCTTACGATACTTCTTCTTCTTCTTATTTTCGGGTACTTAGGCGTGAAGGAAATGAGTCAAGAAACTTATCATAGAACAAATATCCCCAAATGTCACTAGAGTAAGTCATGTCTGCTGACTGTTCCGTTATTAATTCTAAATGGCTGCATTTTTTGAAATTAAAATAATTTTAATACACATTCTTTAGACTTCAGAAACCTGATACTAGGTAATTCTATGATAATTCGTTTGAGAGAAACTTCCACATTCGGGAAAATCGGGAGTAATAAATAAATGTCCTGCTCTCATTCAAACAAAACCAAATAATGAAGAATAATCATCAAAGAATTGTATATACAATATACCATGTGCACAGTGAGTCTTACAAAATTCTGTAAGCTGTAAGCCTTGAACTGTGCCTTGTGTGTTTGTGAAAAAATATTATACATTATACAGGTTAAACAAAAAGAGGCTCTCTCTAGTGAGGATGAGAAAACATTACAATACGAAGAAAATACATATCGACAAATAAAAATTACCTGAACATATAGGATGTAGGAGGATGAACCCAAAAAATCTGAAGGAATAAATAGGTATTTATTTCACTTCTTCGATTAACCTATAGTCAGTGTTTGAATTATAAATATCAATGAAAATGCTAACGATGAAAATAAATCAATCGGCGACGGAGAAACATTTCTATTATTGCACTTATCGTTGTATACAGAGGTGTGCACAAAAAACGGCTAGAGCTGTAACTTCTGAATCATTCGAGATCGAAATTTGAAATTTGGTGGGTAGCAACTATACCATATTGTTCATTTATTGATGAAAAAAAATTATTCCATCACTTCCGGTCTAACCGGAAGTGATCCCAACTTTTGATTTTCAAATGGAACCCCCTGTATATTTTTCCATTTTTAGATTCAGGGTATCATTTTACATACACCAGTAGTTTTTTCGGATCATTTTGTGTGAAACAGAAAGAACAACAAAATGAACTCAACATCAATCTTTATTATTTTCAGTAGCTAGAAAGAGGGGCGATAAAAAATTAATTACAACAAATGCTCAAATTGACCCCCATTGTGTGCAATGCATTGCCGACACCTCGGCCGACACCTTCTAGCTACACTAAAAGTTGCGTTGTGTAAAAATGCTCGGGGTATATTGCGGCCTCGAGCCTAAGGATTTCTATATTCTCTGGCTAAATAGATAAACTTGATCCTTCAAGTAACCCCAAAGGAAGAAATCCATGACTGTCAAATCTGGACTGCGAGCTGGCCACCGAATCGGTCCATTTGTTCCCATCCACCTTTCTCCAAAGTGTGTATTCAAATAAGTGACATTCAAATTGTGTGGTGGTGCTCCATCTTGTTGGAAAATGACTTCATAACGATTGGCGAGGGGAAGTTGGTCCAGAAAATCTTCAATATAACCAGTAAGCAATTCTAAATACTTATACTGGTCTAAAGAACCGTCGATAAAAAACTGGCCTACCAACATATCATCAAGAATTCCGCACCATACATTCAAGCTAAATCTTGTTTGGAAGTTGGTTTCTACATTACAATGGGGATTTTCTTGTGACCAACATCTGTGATTCCGTCTATTGAAGATGCCATTTCGCCCGAATGTGCATTCATCTGACCACATTATTTTTCTTTAAAATGCAGGATCTTGATTAAACCTATTCAAAAAAAATATTGCAGAAATGTGTCCTATACGTTCTCTGTCATTATCGTGCTCCAAGGCGTGAATTTTGCGGGGAACGTATGGCGTGTACTTATTTTTTTTTCAAAATAGAAAGAACTGTTCTTCGTGACGTACCAAAATCATTTGCAATCTTAATTGTACATGTCCTGGGCGTTCCTTGTACACTCAGTAAAACATTCAATTCCAAATCTGCATCAAACTCTCGCTGTTGTTTCTTTGGTTTTTTGGAACTACCAAATTTACGTAGATTAGCTTCCAATCTGCCAAATTTTTGATGGCTAGGATGATTTCTATTCGGATATCTGTTTCTATAAACACGAGCAGCATCGTACGAATTTTTCAAACATTCAAAATAAACTTGTAACATATCGGTTAACTCATTATTATTCATGTTTATAAAATAAAAAATATCATCACCTGTATTGAAACTTATTATTGGATGTTACTGTCACATGGAAATTGACTTACAAGGCTACCTAGATCTTGAAATGTTTAAAGAAAAAAACGAATTAAAAGAATTCCTCTTGACATTTTGATCCGGAAAAACTACTGGTGTATGTAAAATGATACCCTGAATCTGAAAATGGAAA